CCCAAGTCTGCTGCCTAATTTGAAATTTGCCATCCACAACAATGCTGATCAATATCTGCATGTATCACTTCGTTGTGACAGGTAATCGTGTTCTAGCTGACCTTTATGCAGACTTTTTTTTTATTGAAATGAAAATATAAAATCTGTGGCCTTTCATCTGTCTGCATGGGATAAAAAATGGGATAAATTGGAATGAAATTGGCGGCGATCCAAATTTTGAAGGTTTTATATTTGTATCTGTGAATTCAAAACTGTCTGTTCTGTGTATTGTGTGATATACTGGTAAATTATTTCTTACTGTTTAATATTAAATTATGAGAAATTTGAGTATAATGTTGTCTCCTATGTCTGTTACCATCTCATTAACCGTTTGGGTGCCATCGTTAATTTTCGGCACCATCTACAAAATTATATGGTATAGTTCCCCCCCCCCCCCACCCCAAATTTAATATTGGAAAAAATTACAAATCTTTTGATCAAAAACTAAAAGCATTGTTTGGAACTGTCTCTATAATACAAAATAATAATGCGAAATAATGATGAAATTTGCTAAACATTTTACAAAATGTTAAAATTCTGGCAGGAAAAATATCTGACACTGAAAAGATTAAGTATAAATAGACAAGTGTTCGTGAGACAATGAAAATTGTGAACATTTCTCTGGAGAATTTTGCAAAATTTGGTCTCTCTAATGCTATGCATTTATTAAATTAACATTCCTAGCAATTTTCATGATGATATTGTAATATATCTTACTGTGATTTTTATTTTTTTATTTTGTCATTTGAAAAAGTGTACCGTATCTGTGTACAATGGTGAGCCAATTTATTCTCAAAATCAGCAGAATTCGAAATTTTATAGTTCAATAATAAAATAACCTATAAAGATGTGGTACACCGTAAAGAAAAAAAAATGTTTAAATAAATCATGGGGACTGCATTTTGTACTGTAAAATTATATAAAAAAAAAAATTGTATTTGCTTGAGTAATAAACTAAACTGAATAAAGCTACGCAATTTGGATCCAGGCTGGTAGAATACAAGCACGTTTCAAAACCTATGTGCAATATTCAAGCCTCATAATTTGGTTTTAGATCATCTTCCACTTAAAGATGAAAAAAAAAATGAAAAAGGTTTGCTGCTTGTTATAGGGAAAATAAAAACTGATGTAATTTTTTTTTTTTTTTTTGTATTAGGATTATTCAGTAACAACATTAATGCTATTGAATACATGTAGATGCATACACGTAAAGGTTGATTTGAACGCACGCACACAAACAAACAGAATATAAATATTTTCCATCGTGTGTAATAACATAAAGCTTTGTTTTCAACTGATGTCCGCTGTAATCAAAAGCAACACCTTTCAAGTTCTTAGGCCATATTCATGTTTCACTCTCTAATCCTCGATGTCATAAACATTTGTAATAAATTTGGCTACATTTAACTCAAATGTCCCCCCCCCCCTTTTTTTTGAATACTTGTACTTTTGTATTTTAGAATCATCATGTGGATGCTTGATTAAAATGATGTCCTTGCACTGGATGTGTAATATACTATAAACCATTTTAATTTCTTAGCGACTTTTGCAAAATTTTGTCTTCAGGAATGCTATATAATACGTGATCATTTTTCACAGTATTGTTTTGCACACACAATTTAAAAATATGCTGCATGTTAACTGCGAAATAATATTTTAATACTAGTGATTAAATAATCTTTTTAATAACATTATATAACATAACATTGTTTTTTGCCTTCACTTACCTTGCATACAGTCTCTTGTTTTCTCGATAAAATAAAATGTTATAAAAGTGTGTAAATGGCTAAAGCTGAGTTACTGCGAAAATCAGTGTTTTTTTTCCGCCTTTTCTTTGCATTTGCTTGTATATATTCACTACAAATTTATTGTTTTATCCATGACTATAGTTGCATGCAGTGATCTAGACTATGCTTCCACAAGACTGGTAGCCTTATTTTTATGCACTACATATGAAAAACAAAATAACACCAGAAACTAGTTTCCCCAAGGTCATGACCTGATTACGGGGGCCATAACCCACAGTATGAGACTAAATTCTAGTCTACGATTGTAGAAAAATATAAACATTCAGTATTACCCAGTATATTCACAATTGAGATTAAGTTCTGGATTTCATCTTTGAAAAAAAAAAAATGAAGGTTTGTTTATTTTCTAAATACTTAATAAATAGGTAAACAATTTATCAACATTTTACCCAGTGCAGTAAATTATTTTTTTTTTGAGAAAAAAAATCTCTTTAGCTTTTTCCATAGGAAAGGTTAAAACAATGTTTCATGAATTATAGTGTCTTCTCATCATATGTAAATGGGAAAAAAAAGGAACTAATAGTGACTTCTTGCAAACAAAACTTGTAGACCAGCTGTAATGTTTAAAGAATTGAATTTTGAGATCTGAGATGTATCAGTGTAACAACAATATTATCTGTCAAGTTAAGTAAATAGAAATTTATTCAAAACTGAATATTTATGAAAATTGATCGTGAAATGGTTTAATAATTAACATTCCCCTGGCTATTATTAAAATTTCAAGTATGTAGAGTTAAATGCAAGTAAATCATTTTGTCACTAGTATAATAATATTTATTTGACACATAAAATCCAGAGGAAAGGATAAAAAGGGTCTTACAAAAAAAAATTTAAAAACTATATTCTGAAAAGAGAAAAAAAAACTATTCTAAAAATATAAAAGAAATCAAAAACAAATATGAATAAACAATAAAGACAATTTGCAACCAATGGTGAATATAGAATGTAACCTAATACACTGATCTATGGTAAGGCCTTAATTATTGTACCCTTTGGAAGGGGTGATTGCAAAAAAACTACAAACTATATTTTTCCTTCAATTTTTTCTCAGAATGAAAGTTGCTTCAAATTTTTTTGTTTTGTTTTTCTATGTCAAATGTATGTTTTTTTTATCAATATACTAGTAATTCGCCACAATTTGGACACAAACCTTGTGCGTCTGTTCGTCCCTTAGTCAGTTCGTATCTACCTGTATCTCACACATACCTGCATACATATGCATTTGTTTCACTAACTGATTCAAGATGGCCTAATGAGACCATTATGGAACTGATCTCAGTCATACATGGATAGATTATGTTTAAATTTGGTACATACTTTGAACACAATAGGAATTTGATGCAAATCATTTTATTTTTCGAGTCTGGTTCAAAATAGTTGACTCGTGGCCAGTTTGTATTAAGATATACGTTTTTTGTTTTTGTTTGCTCTTCACGCATTTGTGGCACTGTCTGATTCAAAATGAACAAAGGCTAAAAATGCATATTCATAAGCATTTGTGTCAAGATTTTTCATACCTGTTTTTAAACAGCCACAACTGACTCGAGTGTGTGAATCCGAAAACATAATCCATCACACTTTTTAGAACCATATTTTAAGGATTTATTGATGGATTTAGTTCAAATCTATTGCATAACAAAAACGTTAGGCCTGAGCTGTTAAAATGCAAGTACATATCACAAAACATACAGATATGTATTAAATGCATTAAATGTACTCTATATACCAGTATATATAGAAAATGACAGGGACTTTGTCATGTTATGACAATTTTTAATTTCCAATTTTATCCTGTGCATATTTTCTATGAACCCCAAAAGGCAGGAATTTTAAAAGGTTGTAGGGGGGTGGGGAAAATTTGTGGTGGAGGTATGGGGGGCTATATGGTGTCCATCAGCCACAGGACTTCCAGTATTCAAACTACCGGTACTTGCGCCTACGCTGTGATTAAATTTCATAGTTATGCGTATAAATGTGACTAAATGAAATAGAGTCCGTGGAAACGAAAGCCAGTATTGTGTAGTAAATATTTGTTACTAATCAAAAAAATAGTTTGAATGTTAAGTAAATTTTTTTAAAACATGATATATTATCAGAAACATTCAACATTTTGATTTTCATACAATAGCTTGTTTATTCAGAATGCAGGTTTATATTTCACTTGGTCGCTGTCATTTAATATCACAGTACATTGCTATAGGGTACACATTCAATTGCACATAGAGTGATATTAGTTTAACCAATTTTGACTAACAATTTATTAAATACATTGCGTCAATTCCAGTCATGCAATAAAAGTACATGTACAGTTCATGTGATTTCCTAGATAGAATATGAAGCTGTTTCAATGGAAAACAAAACAAAATTAAATGCAATGTCTATAACGCCTTGCAAAGTTTAAGGAGGTTCAGATTGAACGGAAGATTATATCTCGTGTTCATCATACTTTTGTTATTATGTGTTCATACATTTACATTATACCAACGAATACTGAAAATGAAAAAAAATTGGGGTCACCAGACTTTTTAAGAGTCTGAACTGTCATGGGAAAATTATCAAAATTGTAATTTTTTCACTGGTTTCTATAGTGAGATTATTTCTTCATATCGCAAAGATTTTGCTCAGTACCATGGAATAAAAAAGTTGTATATCATAATTTATTTGAATCCTAATATTGTGAAAACATTTCACAAAAATTGACATATAATTTAGTGAGTTTCTAGTTTTCCCCAAAGACACTAGAAAATACAGGGACAGGCAACTGCGGTATTTTCTTTGATGTGACGTCTCTTGGGATTGAAATGCAATTTTGAACCTTATTTATATATCTCCTTTCAGGATTAAATATTCAATGAAAATGAATGCAGGCTTTATGGTTTTCTTTCAACTGCACTTTTAACATGACAAACACAGGCAATAAACATTAAAGCATGGGTAAATTCAACTAATAATTAACATGTTGACATCCTTAGATTTGACTCCATACTTTATCTTGAATACATTACACCGAAGCCTATGGATGTCACTGTGTTGACATATAGAACGAGAATACATATGCAGCTATATGATGGTGAGAGAGATACCAGATGTCTGTTTATACAATGTAGCAAATCACCATGTCTAATAATGGTGACGATTCTTTATTATCCCCAGGATGGCCACAAGGAGTAGCAGTAGTGCGATATCTGCCATGACTAGTGCTACTTTTATCGGTGGAGGCAGTACATCAACTGTATCAAATGAAAATGATTCTGATATGAGTGCTAATGATGTTAGAGTAACCACTCGAAGTCTAGACATAGATGGAGATGATATACAGGTTAGATGGCTGTACTTATACAATAGTCTAGCCAATCATGGAACTTCTTGCAAATTAGGTTTTTTGATGATAGTTTTTACAGCCTCTTGAATGTTTTCATTCAATTGGGAAACTGTGCCATAAAATTTGTGGATGTTCGTGCCTCGCATATTCAAACAGCACCCAAATACCTGGAAAATCCATTTTCGATAAAAAATTCATGTGCTAGATATTTGCGTGCTATTTATCATAAATATATACATGATGTATCACCAAGTGTTTTCTTATTTGGTATTGGGTCTTAGGTATGAATGGCCACACCATGAGACTAGTTTTTGCTTCTCATATTCCATTATCTTTATCGCTAAAATACCATGGTTACATTGATCGGGGATCAGATTGATTGGATTGATCAGGCGTGATGACGAGAGAGAATGACAAAAACTAGTCTTGTGGCTCTTTCGCTGTCTTGGCCACCATTTAGTCTAGTACAGCACACTGTGGTACTCGTGGGTATACAGTAACATATATAATAATAATTATTGTCATCCTTATTGCAGACCTATCTAAGTGTGATGTGGGGAGGTGGCAAACTAGGTCTAGCATTCTATGACACGGAGTCCTGTCAGGTACAGCTGATGATGGATGTTGTAGAAACAGAGGATTTCCAAATTCTTAAGAGAGGTAAAACATTGATATTACAGAAGTATTTGTTGTTGTTTTATTATTACTAGGATAAATATACCGGTAGTCAATCCTATATGATAGTACAACTAAAATTTAGTCTATATACAATGTACTACATGTATGGCATAGCGTGCCTGTCAATTTTCTTTGAGATTGGTGCACTGGTACTTTAAACTGATTTTTAGCTCTAATTTACTCATCTTAAAGGGGCACCTTCCAGTTAAGTCTAATCTCACAACAAATTTACTTTCTGGATTAAAATAACAATGGATAACAAAAGATAGATTAACATTGTAAACAACATAAACTAAAGTGTCCCATGATTCTTTGGTGCAATCCCTGGGATTGAGCAGTTCCCCTTTAAGGTAGAAGCCTACCGGTACTCATGAATGCAAATACCCAGAATTTATTCATTTTCCATTAAATTAGGGTACTTTTTGTTATCAACTATTTCAAAAAACTAGGTTTTTAAAATGTATCAAAAAAGGCAGCATTGTGCTTAGCATTTTTGATAAATGTTAGAAAAAGTTTCTCCAAATATGTCACACACAAAAGAATGTTGTTTCATGGTGCCATGGGACAATAGCTTCGTGATTTAACACAATCAACATTGTCGTGCGATTTATAACAAACTTTCTTTAAAATTATGAGTATGCTTAACCTTAACCAGCATGATTTATGATATGTTTATTTTTCAGTTAAACAGCAAATCTTACCAACTTGTGTAATAACTAGTAGTAAGCAAGATGATAGACTCATCAAGGCACTGACATGTAAAGGTAAGTTGGACTTTAACCAGCTTGCACTGTTAACCTCCAGCCATTAGGCGTCTCCCAATATATTTTTGGGGCATTAGACTAAATTGCAAAGTTATTTTATACTCTACGATGACTGTGACTTTGAATGCTATCGAATAATCTTCTGTAGAGTTAGTGTTTGAGCAAAGTTTAATTATGAGTACCAGTATATACAGGGGATGGGTTTACTGTGTCTTTTGTTTCTGGTAACCCCACCTACCCAGATTTTGGTGGATATCAAAACATTTATTTTATGCACATTTTTTCAAATTATTTATTTCTATGAATCAATATTGTGATTTTTTAAATTGAAATCTTTTCTTTTATTTAGTGATTGACTAGTATTTACCGTATTTGCTCTATTGGTAGCGCATGTGTTTACATAAAGTACAGTAAATTTTCTATGGTAAAAATATCTATATGTCTAATAGAGCAAGTACGGTAATGAAAATTAGTTTAGATGGTTGAAGCAACATAGTAGTAACACACCATAACGTATTTTAGGTGTGTTGTATATGTCAGTGGGACTCGTATCAAACATGTTGTAGTGAGAACGACTGCGCTAACAACTGCACATGGCACTTAAACCACTTAAGACTAGAGAACAGTTTCTTGATGTGCATTACATGCGTGTGTAGTCATTTGTGTATTATAGAAATTGTAATTTATTTTTTGTGACAGTTCATACTGATTGCTGAATGGTAAATATAGACATGTCACATTTAATTCTGATGTAGATGAAAAATATATACCAGACTCTGTCTTAAATCTGCCTTTCCAAATATCTTCCCAAGCATGCAATCATCATGCGTGCATGTGTCACATGCATACTGAATCCGACACATAAAACCTTACAAAGATCAAATCAGGACACAGAAAAATGATGACACAAATTGACTATCCCAGTACCTTCTGCTGGATTATTCTCTACTCTAATCACTTATGCATGCAGACTTAAGAAGTACCACTATCTAAAATCTCAGCATCCAAAATAAATTTAATCTGATGGTTTCTATAGAGGGTATCATATGCCTTGTAAACATATTCTTTATTAAATAAATGTATTCATTGAAAAAAAGAAAGAAAAAAAGAAAATTAAGTTTCTGGTCAATTTGTTAGCAAAAATAGTGCAATCATGGTTTTTTATTTTAAAATTATCATTAAATTGGGTGTTTTAGCATTTTCCATGAATAATCTCATATGATTATGATTGCATTTCATGGATGTCTTGAAGGCAGTGCAAATGCCTTGAACAAAACATACTTCACTGAAAATAAAATCCACTGAATATTTTTCCTTTATTTTACATTAAAGAGCTCATCAAAAATCAGTGAAAATAAATTCCATACAAAGCATCCAAGAAGTCTTTTCTGTGAAAATTAATTCCAGATAAAATAAAGTAGTTTACAGTAGTGAGAATAATTTAGCATTTCATTTTTACTGGATCCATTGTTGGCTAATTTAATTACTTTTTTACTGCTCATTGTACATGCTTTAACACAAACATAGTAAAATCAAATAAACTCAAAATTCATCCTTTCATTCTGTTTGTTTTATTATATAGTTAATGATCTAGGAGAACTCATTGAGGATGAAAACACCGCCATTGATGTGCAAATTCTACCAAGCCTCGACTTTTGTAAGTTTCCCATTCTGCATGCTATGTGTCTTATCAGGTTGTGTTTATTTCAGCATTAGAATAATCTTTTTATCAGATGTTTTATTTCTTATATCAGCTGAGACTTGATCGGTGGTGATTCCGTAACTAGACAACTTACAGGTACATGCCGACCCCAATAAGCTGGTTGGTTATTGTTAATGGCTTAAAAGAAAAATGAGCCTGCAGAACTTATAGACAATAGTAAAGGTGCAAAAATCAAGCATGGCAGTGATGATTTTGAGTGTGGCTGTGTCAGATAAGCATGACGGTTCTCGGATCTTATCCTGGGGAGAAAATTGGGATGTTTTGTCTGGTCTTCCATTTTGTTTTGTGAAATTTTTTTATCACTGTCATTGTGTCCATACACTGAGTTAGAAGCCATGATCTTAAAAAGGCAGTAGAAAACTTCAAAGTTCAATTTCAGTGATGTACATGCATGCATAATTTTATTTTAAGAAGGAATGCACAGCAAAAAAGCGACTGAAATGGCGTTAAAAAACAAATATTCCATTTAAAAAAAAATTCAGTTCAAGACAACTTTTACAGTCCCCCTTATATATATTGGTTTGTCCCTAAAGTACCTGAGGCATTGTCTTTTGCAAGTGTTGTAATCGATAGTCTAGTTCTTATTGTAAACATTGTCATGTATACAGTAACTGACCTGTGCCCTGTATAGCACCCCCTGTAATTTTGACAGTTCATCTGATGCATCTATCTACTGTATGATACTAATGTTTTTACAGCTTACTTCTCAGCATGAGATGGGACTGCTAACTCACAAATGACTTATTATTAGTTCAATCAACTGCAATTCGCCTGTCATTTCATATCTACATCCTGTACTATTTCCTATCTGTAACCAGGCAGATCCGTGTTGTGTCTTATTTTTGTTTATCTCAAATTACCCTACTCATCATTTTTTTTTCACCCGAACACTTGGGCAATGATTTTTGACATTTTTTTTTCTGTAATAAAATGAATGGGATCATAAATAAACTCCTTGTAGTGGTGGTGGTGGTGGTGGTTTTGCACATTTTTTTCTAACTTAGTTATGTTGTACATCGTTAAATTATATGCTGTAAAATACTTTATTTTAGCTGCAATTAATTTCGCTGAAAAGTCTTTTTGGGTGTTTTGTATGGAATTTATTTTCACTGATTATTGACAAATTGAATGTAAAATATAGGAAAAAATAGATATATTCGCTGGATTTTATTGTCGCTGAATTATTCCTTCAGCGAAAATAGTAAAAATTAATTCCAAGCAAAAATAAAGTATCATACAGTACTCGACAAATCTAACTTTTGCTTTGTTCTGTATTTAATACAGTAGAACCAACCACTGGTAAATTTAAACAATAACTGCCAAAATTCTGATGAACATGCATTTTTGAACAAAAGCAAGCAAGTAACTGATAATGCCAATTAAGGTAGCGAGACTATTATTTGTGTTGAAAATTACGATTTTCACATTTATTTATTAATTGATGAAATGCACCATAAACTTTCATATGATAAAGTCAATAAAACATAGAATGTCATGTAAG